GTCGTACGTACGTACGAGAGAGAGAGAGAGAGAGAGAGAGAGAGAGAGAGAGAGGGGGGAGAGAGATCTCGCTTCCCCGCGTGTGAACTTTCGTCGATCGTCGGTCCGGGGCATCAGCTTCCGACGTGATTCATCGAGGCCGCCGGTTGAGCGGGTCAGGGACGAGGAAGATAGATCGGCTTCGTGTTCGGGCCGGCTTCAGGTCGACGCACGTCGACGCGCGGCAACCTGGATTTCCGCACCATTTACCGCGACAACAAGGCTTCGGACGCGCTCGGATGCGTCGCGCTATCTTCGTCGTCATCGTCGTCGTGACGATAACGTTTCTCATCGAGCGCGATAACGAGGCTGTCGAGCTGTCGCTTATCGAGAATCTGTCGAGCGCTTACGAATCCGCTGCGAGTGCGTCCTATTGATTCCTACGGTACGTGTGTCCAGGATCCTTCCGTGCGAGCTGCGGGATAGAATCGATTGGGATAGTGCGTCGAGTTTTTGAAAGAAAGAAAGAAAGAAAAAAAAAAGAAGAAGAAGAAAAAGAAAAATTCGAGTGCGGAGATCCGCGGAATATATGGCGTCGAATTTTGTCGAATGAGTGCGTGTGATATGCAATAATCGAACTACGTCATTAAAATTCGTGAGTGGTTTTGTATAAACTTAGAGAAGATAAACGCGAGTTATCAGAAATAGAAATCACGCGTTTGGCGTGTCTCGAAACTCGAAACTCGTTCCGTCGCATATCGTTGCGCTGTATTTCCAGCGATTACACGGAGGACGTAGAGAATTCTTCGCCATTTCTTTCTGGTTGAAGAAAATGGAGAAGTGCACGAGTAATTAACAGATCGTTAAGAACGTAATGCAATAACGGCGCATCGGCGAGCGGAGAATGAAACAGTGGCAAGAACCGAAGACACCTTTATTATCTATCGAACAGCGATAACGTCGCGCACGCCGACTGACAGGTCATTGTCGATTATCTGCTCGAGCGCTTATTAAGGCGCTTGGAGGTTCGTTAAAACGGTATCCCGCCGATTAGACTCGCCGCGGAACGACGCTAGCGGTCTGAGCGTCGAGCCTCCGCGTTGAGCGTCGTCGCGTTGTTCGAAAACGTCTTCGCCGCCGCCGTCTCTTTGTGGTGTGTCCCGAGGTACTCTTTCCGTCACGCTCGACGCCGATCGCCGAGTCAAAAGAACGACTGTATAAAGGCGGATAAAATATCGAGCTGAGAGAGAGGAAATACCGAGGCGACACGCAAGACCGATGCGATACGCGCCCGTTCTTTCAGCGTTCCTTCGGTGAACGGTGATCGCATCCCCGAAGAGAGATCTCTTTCCCTGGGAGAAGGAAACAAAACAGCTGTCGGAGATACGTCACGTTCGTTAAACGCGAGCGAAAGGAGATTCGCTCGCATCGAGGAAGATTTATCGTCTCGCAGATTCGCGACATCTCCGTCCTGAGAAAATCCTCACGCAGCCAGGTTAGTAAATACACTTTGTACGCTCGCGAATCCGGGATATTTATTTAGACTTTTCCGTTGACTCCATTATCTTTTCCTTTTATCATTTTAAGATTAAACGAATCGAATACGCTCAGACAGCACATCCGAAATCGGGATGTCTAAAAACATCTTTGTGAAAAACGTCCAAGTATGTTATCTATCTGCGATCGATATATCCGATTGTTCGAAAAGCAGATCATTTCTTTCGCAGATATTTTTAGATATTTTTTCTTATCTGTTTGAATTTTTCTTGCTTCTTAAAATCTATTATTTGATAAAAATAATTTTTATGTAAGAACATATTACGAAATATGTCCAATATATACAAGAAATAAAAAAAATTGCTCATATATAATTCACATATATTTTTAATTATGAATATGATAATATATGGATAATTTTTTCTCATATCTTCCAACTTGACTTTTTTGAAATAAACAATGTGAAAATTATTCTTTTGATGATCATCTTTTATGTCTTTTTATTATTATTGTTATTTTTCTTATACCAAATACCAGACATTTTACAAAAGGATATATGGACATATTTCGTATATATAATTATATATATTTATATATATCGTTATATGAAAAATTTTTCATCGGCTAGATCGCGCGACGACTTAGATTACGAGCGATTGCGTATATATCGTACCGCAAAAAGATAAACGGCACGCGTTTATCTGTTGTTAAAGATTTAGTGAGAGTGTCCGCGGATTAAGCGTGATGTCTCGTTTAGTCGCGCGCGATACGTCGCGTCCGCGTGGTGAAAATGAGCGGCGCTGCATTGGGTGCCGTTTGCAGTTGCAAGGTCCCAGCTTGCGGAATCGCTCGTGCGGCCAGGCGGATAAACGCACTCGCTCGTTACGGCCGAAGCGAGCACGGCGAGCCGCCGACGTAACGGGCCGACATTCGTAAAACGCGCGAATACTTTCGTATTCGATCGTTATTTCCGCATCAGTCGGCCGGATAATCTCTACGAATAGCGGCCGCCACAATATCCTACGCGCTCGTCCACATAAATCGCCACAGACGCGCTATTCTCGCGCGACGAAAATCAGTGTCCGTCATCTCCGCCGGCCACTTTCTCTCCGCTGACCAACCGCGAGCGATCAATCGAGTTCGATGCGCGCAACACACTTTAAAGCTTTATTGATTCCCTCCCCTTCTCCCTCCCCCCCCTCCCCCCACCGTATCTTGCCATTGGTTTCACTTTTCTTCAGATTCGCTGCGGGAGAACCTTGTGGATTTCCGTATACAACTAGTAGATAATTCTTGCCCGTCTCATCGCGATTCCTAAAGAAAGACTGCGTGAAAATGAAAACTATTAGCGTGGGCGAAATGTATTCCCGGTACATTGGAAAGCATAGAAAGTGCGATATTCGATCAGATCTACCAGGCTGAACGTTCTCTAAACGCGTCCGTATAACGATGCGGTGCATCGCGACACGTGATGTCTCCGCAAAAGGCTTAGGCGCGGTACGTTGGCGTCGCGTTTTGACTGCCAATCGTGATGTTTGATAATCATGTTGGGGGAAAGTACCAACGAGTACAACGAACAACAGACAGTTATATGTGTATGCGCTGTATTACCCGCGCTGAATCGTAATTGTAACCGAGGTAATGCCAGGTAGTACCAGCGTCACCTCGGTGCGATTACATAAAAAGTAATTAACGCCCGTTACGCGAATATTTGAGCTTGACTGACTGACAACTGACTGAGTTATCAACGCCGATCGATCTTGTTTGTATCGTTATTAATCGTTAACACCATGTTTATAATACCGTTTCGAGCTAGGTTGAGATTCACGCTTTAGGTTACAGCGATTAGCACAGCGATTTCATCATTAACGGCACTTTTCGTTGCCTCACTCACCGAAACGTTATTTTTCGCGGGCAACCGATGCATAACATTAATACATCCCGAGAAACATGATGTTTAGCGTGAGATATGTGAATTATGTTCAAGATCCATTATTGTGTGCCAAGACTGCCAAGTTCATTATGCTTGTGAAGATTCAGGGCAACGGCAAATTTGAAATTAAAATGAAACGCTTTTCGATGTTACCGTACAAATTGGAGTAATAAGTCGTAAATTTGTGATTAGGATTGAATTTTGCGGTGACACCCGTATAGAAGAGAGGGTTTTTTTCAGTAATATCGCGTTCGCGGTCCTTGAATTTATATAAGTTTATATATTTATATGATGGATTATATCGAATCAAGAAAACTACGATTGATGCTGAAATAGAAATCTTAAAAATAGAAGAGATTAATGCGCTTTTTTCTTTTTTATCTTTATTTTTTTTTTATTATTTGTAACAATTTACAAATAACGAGGATACCTTTTAAATATTTTTTCAGATGAAAATTAATTTGAAATTTTAGTAATTTTTAACAATTTCAAAGTTACATAAAACTGTACAAGTAACAGTGTAAAATGTTAAGTGAAAATGTTTTTCAATGTTTATATATTCTAATGATACTTAAATAGAAACGTTGAAATGAAAATTGTTGAATTTTTATAAAAAAATTGTATCTTCTTGTATCTTCCGATTAGTATCTTATCTCGCAATTATCATTCGATTCTTTCAATATCATACATCAATTCAATTCGATATATAAAATTAAGTTTCATCTTAAGGGAAAAGTGGTATCTTCTTGCTTACAAACATTAAACTAACAAGTAACATCTTATTACATCGTTTTACATGAGTGTTATTTACTCATCGATCGGAGCGAGATCGAGTTTTGCTCGTGTCCGCTGACCAGCGACGGGATGCAATCACGTGGCGAGGATGCCAACCACGACGGCGACGGCGACGATATTAATTCGCATACCGCAAGTTACACGTTACGATTTTATCGCGCTCTTACCGGGCCGAACGATTCATTCGTGCCTCGCCAAGATTCTCTGTAGATTGTCGCGATTGAGAAATGCGCGCGGTTAGGCGCGACCACCCGTTAGACGAACGGGACGACTGTTCCATAAAATATCGCCGCAGAATTTCTTCACGGCACCTGTCGATCGTCCGCTCGTTTTCTCCTTAACCGCACTTCTCTCTCTCGCCCAGTGGTTTACTCTTCCTCTCGACTTTGCTCCTCGTTCTCTGTTCTCGTATCGTATTCGCTTTTATTCCCCCGGGTCTCGTCTGTTACTCTAACGGTGTGCTTTTGTCAGCTCCGTTCTTTACGTGTCTTCTCTTCCTGTCTCCTTATTCTCTTTATTCCTCTTTATCCTCTTTATACCCTTCGTGACACACACACACACACACACACACACTACCTTTTGTTTCCGATTCTTTTCTCTCGTCGAGTTTAGTGCTTTATTTTTCTGACACATACGTTCGTACTTCTGAATTTTTTCAATCTTATGCTCATTTATTAGTTTTATAGTTTTAGTTTCCTTTGCTCGTATTTCTTTGCACGCTTGTTACGCTTGTTTTTTTCCCCTTATCGCCCCCTAATGCTTCTCGCTCTAACGTGATTTAATTTCTTCCATGTTTTTTTTGCTCTCTCTCTTATGTGCACTTTCTAATCTTTTTCTGCCTGCAACCTGCTCGTGATTTCTGCAACCGCATGTTAACGTCGTTTCACAATATCACCATCTTTACGTCCATTCTAATGTGGATTATAGTTGGTCAATATCGGGCAAAAGCGGGATATTGGATTGTGCTTGTGATTACGACCCACCTTCCTATTCTTTGCCATACTATTTCCATAATTAATAAATGTCAATTTTGTAATAGAGATATGCTCGCATCTGTTTGGCGATGCGATATACGCGCATTCCTACCACGCACGATTATATTCATTTATATTTTCATTGATATGACTAATCTGCGATAGATCGCGTGTAATAGCTCGTTAAATTCTAAAGATTCGTTATTGTCAGCGATTGTATTGGATGAGAGAGTACCAACTATCACGCTTTTATGGCCCAATAAAAGTTGCGTTAAGTCAATGAAAACAAAAGCGTCAATAAAACGAAATGCAACTGACGTTGCGAAAACAGATAACAAATAAGAAATAATATTCTCAATAATGGTTTCAAGGTTCATCTTGAGAGATCGAAAGCTATCTAGATATCTAATTATTCCAGATATAAATTGATTAAAATGAATTTTAATACTTCAAATTTCGGTTGTCTCCGAATTTCCCGAGATATTCTAAAACGAAGTCAAAGTGTCATAGGAGAATAGTAGCACCTGTTGAACGATTTTTAATTTTGTTTTCAAGAATACCGTTTCATTATAAAATTGTTTATTTCTTTCTTTAAACAGACTTGTTCTATTGATGTACAGGTAGAGTCCTTAATGTCGAAATGCTGAACGTGCCGCGAATTCTCAGATCGCTGTGAATTGCAAAAGCGTAGACGCGAATACGGAAGCATCGGTCGCGACTGGTTTTCAAAGTGTCTAGACGAATCTAGACGAATTCACATCACCGTTAGAATCATCGTGCGACTCTCTCGGATAAGGAAGGGGTTGGACGGAGAAGCGATTCCCTCGCTCGCTCGCGCGGCCTAGTAAGCCTTTTCATTTTCAATCGACGGATTGCGCGCACGATTACGCAACAGGTGTACCGCGTGTTGTTCACGTAGCGCGTGGGTTTGTTAGTAATGACGATAATATTACGGGGATTAATAGCAAATGTACGTGTATATGGAAGGTGATACCTATCGTGCACCTATCGTGGTGAATTATGACGTCAGAAGTGATGAAATCCACGCGAATCATTCTTGCGCACCTTTCATTCGTATATAAATAATCTTTTGCCCCTGAAACCGGTTTAGCCCTATAAAACGGGTTTCACACAAAGATTTCGTTGTCAGTTTAAAATATATTATGCGAATTGCTACAATGTGTCGTTTATATTTTTTATAATTTTATAGCCAGGTATGTGGTGTGTGTGTGTGTGTGTGTGTGTGTGTGTGTGTGAGAATTAGACGATCGTAAGCGGTCATGAAAGAGATTCGAA